CCCCCAGACTGTTTAGATCCATCTGCACGATCAAATCAGATATTAAATGCTATTATTCGTGGAATGCATCAGAATGAGCCGATCAACCACGTTCTGTTAGCTGCGACAAATGCCCTCTTCAGTTTCCTTGAATTTACTAGAGCTAATTTTGATAATGAGGTATGTTTGCTTGTATGACAGTTTCAGCATTAATTGTATTCTGGTTTGCTTTTTATTTTGTTCCTTTCATGAAGTGCATAAAATTAATTTTAATTTGTGCATGTTTCATCTGAAAGATTTCAGTAAAGTGTTATATTGGAAGTATACATTAAAATCTATCTGAATGATATAGTTTTTGTTCATATTAACTCTACTAAAGCTGATATCAAACTTTACTTATTTAATCAAATCTGCTTATAATTTGGTTTATGGCAAAATGCAAGGTTGATGCATGAAATAGTCCCCAAACATTCAAACAAACATCAAGCCTTGGAGATGGCCCATGGCTTTATATGGCAGCCCACATTGTAATCTCAGCGGCAGTTTCTTGTTAAACACATGCAGATTTTCCATAGCCCAGAAGTAAAACTTTGGTACTATTCTGTCCAGGTAGAAATATGCCTCATTCAAAAGACATTTTATGCAGTATGGCTCTTTCATACAGCAAGCTCTAGTTACTGTCAATCACGTGCGGTAAGATTTGTACATTACTCTTCTTTTGTGTAGGTACGTGATCATATTTAATTGTGGAATTCATTAGAGAGATCATCTCATATTGCTAATTCTGCAACTGCTTGTTTTGTTGATCAGGATATTTTTGCTTCATAACCAAAGTATTTTATCGGGACTGTCGAGAAAGTGCCCGCCGCATCGGAAAATGAGGACTTAGACATCTCTGCATTGCCACTGTACTGTTTTAAGCTAAGAACAAAGTGGGTCGTGCTCTTAGGTTTATGGACAGTCTCCTTTTGTCAGTCTTTGTAATAGGTGTACATGCTCTTGGTAACAACATTTTATGGAAGTGCCTCCTGATGGTATCTTCATGAGGTAACACATTTGTGTGCATCAGTGGTCCCCAACCTTTTTGGGCCTACGGGAACATTTGGGAATTTATGAGATCATGGCGGGCACCAACCAATTAGCAAAAGCCAAATTTTCTTTTCTCTGGACAAATAAGATATGGACACCAAATAATACACAAAACAACATGACGTTTAATGATACAAGATACCATGCAATCAAAAAAACATAGTTTTATAATTACAATTATTATTACTCAAGTGGGAAGTTAGTGTGATGTTTGGAGCTGCATTTCATCGGCCAGTTTTTCAAATTTGGGGGTGTAGGATGATGTTGCTTATCGCAAACAATCGTCAAGATGGGCGTCAGCAAATCGAGATCTGTGCTTTGATTTTATAATGTTGGTGGTTGAACGGCCCTCATTATTCAGTATGACCTCTTTCCGTAAGAATGTGGGCACCCAAGAAAAAAGCCTTGGCGGGCACCGCGTTGGGGACCACTGCTGTACAAATTCTAACTTGGTCCTTAACAAAACTTGCCATTTTATGATCAGTTGAAGTGAGGGATCATTTCATATGCTACTCTGAGGATATCTCATTATGTACAAAAACTTTTATTTGCAACATTTTTAATGTGGTAAATGTTTTATGAAATTTGAAGAAAATTCATTCTTGAGGCTGTACATTGTATTGTAATTTGTTTTTCAACAGTAGGTTATCTGCTGCAGTAATAAGAATCGTATCTGCGGTAATTAAACTTTCAGGAAAATTAGGTACTTAAAGTAATTACTGATGAATGTCAGCCTTTATAATTATATTTGTATGTTTTCTTTGTCAGTCTGAACGTAACTCTATAATGGAGGGAGTTTGTGGAGCTGCGCAGTCTTCAGACATGCAGGTTCGAGTTGCAGCGCTACAATGTCTACTAAAGATTATGTCTCTCTATTACGAATACATGGAAACATACATGGGGGAGTCATTAATTCCGATCACCGTGGAAGGTATGAAATCAGTTATTGATGAGGTTGCGATACAAGGCATTGACTTCTGGTCCGTCGTGAGTGATCAAGAAATGGACTTGTACTTAGGGGACTATGGTGTGAGACGGATACGCCAAAGGTCTTGTACGTTCTATTTAAATGGAGCACTACAGTTTGTTGTTCCTGTTTTATTGCAGAGACTTACAAAGCAGGTTAGTTGAGAACATTAATATGGTAGAATATCAGAGTGTTAATCAGTTCATTAATCAGAATTTGGACTTTACTTTTCCTCTTCGAATTAACATGGTCATACTTGCTGTAGTTTCTTCTTACTATGCATTCTTTGCATAGAATGACACAATGCATTTGAATTTACGTCTGTTCCCATGCTTTATTTCCTAAGTATCCGAATGTAATTGAATGAAATTTGATTCTGGGGATTTACACAAATCTGTTGTAGAAATGTAATTTTAGTTCATCTTGATTCATTATTACATCTATACTTTATGTGAGGGTCATACATAAATATTGAAACTGCAAATAATGCCTTTGGTACATATATGTACTCCATTGTGGTACATATTTACTCTCTTGAATTTTGCTTGGAGTTTGTAGCAGCAATAAAGTTTTCCAATCGAAACGTAACAGCTCAGACTCTGATAATTGTATTTCATTGATGTTCCGTTTCACTTTTCAGGAGGAATATGATGGGGATGATTGTTACCCCAGTAAAGCAGCGGGTGTATGTCTCATGCTGCTCGCTACATGCTGCGAAGATAATATTGTGCCATTTGTTCTCCCCTTTATCAAAGACAACATCAAAAGCGCTGATTGGAAGTTCAGGGATGCTGCCCTCATGGCTTTTGGTAAGATGTATTTGTATGGTGGTCCAACCGTTTTCTTTCCTTTGGCCAAGAATATTTGTCCCATTGGGGCCAGTGACTAAAAAACCTCTTCTGTCACTTCTTCTTCTTCTATGGCTCTCTGGTCCGTGTTCGGTCAACGGCCTCCTCAATTATCTTCCATTTGGTCCTCTGTTAGGTCCGTCTGTCCGAGACTTTGATCGAGGTTTCGAGACATCTTCCTTTTTACGATGCAAGGTTGTTAGCCTTGCAACCAACACCCAACCTGGAGGACCAGGGTACCTGTCTTAGTCTGACCTCTCCCCCTCGACCAATCTTGCTAGCGAGGCCCTACCAGTAGCTCTTGGGGTCACTGAGGTACTCAAGCCTCACCACCATGACAAGATGCAGGTGCCATTAACAGTACTTAATTCATAAATGACAAATGATAATAGTACATGGTGAAATATAAATTTCACTTAAATGTACATAAATTACTATGCACTCACATTGTATCGTATACTTGCTTGCTTCTATCTGACAGATATTACCTGAAAAACATTACATTTCTCTTCTGATGATATATGTATTATTATTATTGAGTTATTATTGAGTGTTCTGTCTGACGACAGGTCCATTGTTCTGCCCAAAAAGAGCACGCCAGTTTTCCCTATTCTCAGCTTCTCGTTTTAACTCCTGAAACTTCATCTTCTTTTCTTGTTTAAGATTGATATATGTGTGTGTGTGTATATATATATATATTTAATTCCTGCAAATGGCTAGGATATTCCCCTGCTGTGGATTCCTCACACAAACACACAAACAAAACACTGCATTAAATGATGATAACATCCACCTTAACAATCCCATCTTCAACGTCGTACAGTTCCTTGACCCTACCCCATGAAACAACTTTCACTTATTTAAATAACCCTCAAACAACATACATACACCAGACACAGATTCTCTTCACCAGCCGTCAGACGCACGTTACTCTACACAACACCTCTTGGTATGTTCCTCGTTTACTATTTTAATATATATTTATA